TATATATATATAAAAATGAGTAGAGAAATCCTACGTTTTTCGCCCAATAGATAAAACCTTTTGTTATGAAGATCCACCTGCTTTTCATATAGTGACATATATTTTTGCTTTGTCCAGCAGAAAAGGTTATGAACAGCTGCTTAGATTCATTGGCAAAAATTCTAAGCATCTTACTCTGAATCCTATCAAATATGCACTACTTCTAACCTCCTGCATTAATATTATTCAGTAAAAAGTAAGGGATGGGATTGAATAGTCAATTTCAATTAGGAAAGTTCATAATCGAGGGAACTGTCCTGGACGTTTCTGTGTGTTAGCTATAATAAGAGGTTTGAAATGTCTAATTACACTGAAATGTGCTTCAGTGCTTCCTTTATTAGCTCCTTTGGCACCGGATAAACTGAACCATCCTTTATGACAGGAAGTGAGACAATAACATCCCAAAATTTATAGCAAACCTGACAAAGTGGCACAGATCATGAAAATGTTAATTAAAAGCGTTTTAAAAGCTATTTCACGCAACAACCTGCTGATAGGTTTTGAATTTTCAACAGCAGGCTGTTAAACCTACAGGTGGACTATGAACATTACACTGCTGCAATAAAATCTGCTTCTTGCCAAAAATGCATGAAGAATGTAGATTTATACAGACTCAAATCGAGATTATGAGCTATAAAATTGATTGGGGTGCATTTAAGGTTGGAGCGAATTTTACTTTAATAGTAGAAATTCTAAACAAGGGGGAGAAAACGAGTTACACTGGATCACCAAGACACACATTTTGTAGTCCATCTTCTGGACATTATTAAGGAGTCGGCAAAATTGCAGGTGCATTTGTTTCTCTTTTCCTGAGTCGCTATAAATTCTCCTTCACACCTTTCTCTGACCTCATGGATTTTTCTATCAGATGAAGGAAATGTGTTCAGGAAATAGCAGTAGGAGGTATTATTTGGAAATGTTCCATCATTACTGAGGTTCTCGTCAATCAAATGCAACATTGCATTATTTCTTTCACTGACCAGGCAGTTGAGTTGAGGCAACACATTTAACCAGCAGATGGCAGTAAAACACAACAATCTGAGGCTGTCAACAAAAATGGAGGCAACACTCATTCAAAACTTGCTTTACAACTTGTGCAATCTCTCAGCCCAAAGTCAGACAAAATAACACGTTTTTCTTACCGCAGAGAGCTGCTTAAAAGCAAACTCAAAGCCCTTTGTGTAGTCTGTAATTCCTTTAGCGCTGATGTTCTGCACGGCATCCTTCAGCAGCTTTTTGTTCCTCACGTTGGCTTGAACCAGACGGTCGAAGCACGCCGTGTTTTTCACCAGTGTGTTAAACTGGGTAACAGACAGGACAGGAGTTATGACCTGAAATTTATTCATACAATTATAACATGTGTGCAAATTCAACACATCATACAAATGCAGCACACGCACACAGACACACAAACACTACCACCTGGCCTTGGCTGTTATCAGGCAGTGGTAAACAGACACATTCATCAAGCTCCACTAATTGCTTCACATCCTCAGAGCTCAACGATTTGGTACCCATGGAAACAAGATTCTGTTATATAGAAACGAGCTTAGGCAACCTCATCGTCTTTTTTTAAAGGTGAGACTTGCTTATTTCCACCTCACAGTGCACACATGCACAAATACTCCACCCCCCAAAAAATGAGGTACGTTTGAGTTTGCTTCAGGAGTGCCTAGGAGTGAGGAGGAAAGGCATTTTTAAAGAACTCCCAATGGCAATAAGTAAAAAGACAGAATAAATTAAAAACACAAAAAGAACTTCTAATGATAGTGCAGGAAGGGCATGGGACAGCAGAGCAGCCAGCTGTCCCATTCCCAGCACATCTATTGTGTAGCAGAACTCTTCTGAAACAATACTGCACCTCATCGATCTCAACTAATCAATGCATCTCTGCGAGATGGCCGATAGGGAGGCTGAAACACTGATGTACAAAGACAAGCAGGGGGGCAAAAAGAGCCCTGACTATATGTCTGCCTTGATCAGTATGTGTGCATGTGTGTCTGTGTGCGTTTCCAGGGAACCAGGCAGCCTTGAAGTTCCTTTTAGAATGACAATAACAGACATACACATCTCTGCTGGACCGGAAAGCAATACAATATTGGCTATGGCACACGCACAACACAAAACACCAAAACACACAATGGAAGTTCACATGACTGACTGTGTAGAGCAGATGGGAATCTGTTATCACATAATCTATCTAAAGCAGAAGTGAAGAAGGTGGGTCTAGCATGTGGGATGGTGAGGAGCAGAAAGTGAGAGGAAGGGAACGTGTGTGTGTGTGTGTGTGTGTGTGTGTGTGTGTGTGTGTGTGTGTGTGGCGGGTGGTGGGGGGCTAAGCACGAATGTGAGGTGTTTGCCTTTTAGAGAATAATGATCTCATAAAGGGTACGTGACAGAGAATTATAGTTTTATCTGATTTAATTACTTTATTAAAAAAAAAATAAACACTGCTATACAGAGACCTGTGGAATGACTAAGAAAAAGCCATATTCTTTCATTGTAAGACTGCCTTTTTGGCCCTGCACATGAATGTGAACGCAGTCTACCGCAAATTCCACTATTCTGCCGTGATCCTATTACAACAGCTCTTATATGTGTGTGTGATGGTCCAGGCCTTGGGAATGGATTAGTGATGACACAAGAGAGAAGACTAATCTTCAAGCTCTAATCCCAGCAGACTGTCTTCTATTCTGGTTTACTACTCAGGCTTGCTCACTGGACTGACGCTGGCTAAAAGATTGATGCCAGCAAAACATGGCTGAGCAGGCTGGATAAATGTGGTGGAGGCTTGTGGTGTGAGAGGTGTGGGAAAGAGAGAAGACAAGGGTAAAAAAACAGAAAGAGAGAGAGAGAGAGAGCAAAAAAGGAAAGGAAGAGAGGCAGCCATCAGCAATCGTCTGACCTGACCTGCTGTGAAGAACGAGCGCGAGCATCTTCCGTGACCAAATGCCAACTTAGTCCCTGGGCTACTGTTAATGAGGAGGGATTTGTGGGTAATATCAGAGACTAATGATTTAGTGACAGGTAACAACACCCTGAGGACCAGACATCGGGCAGTGGATATGTGTATGCATGTGTGTGTGTGTGTCCGTGTGTGTGCATAAATGAGTGAATCAATGACAGAAAGAAATAGATATGGTGAGGGGTGACTGACAGAAGGAATAATGATTTTTGCTGAAACAGGAGGAAATTGACACTGACTTACCATTATGTAACTGATATATTGCAGCAGGAATATTATAAATCCATTTCATTTTGACTTTAGCTGTCTTGTTGTTTTTGATAACCTTCCTGTTTCTTATACTGACATTATGCTTAGCAAATAATATTGTTGACAGCTAAAAATACAAAACTGCTAAAAAATAGAAATGTAAAAAAAGACAGACTGGAACAATGAAAACAGGTAGCCGTATGATATTACAGGTTGCAAATAAGCCCTAAGAATTATTGTTAAAATTATCAACCAAACTTTAGTTTATGGTTCTTGACTATATAAAATAGGTATACTGCTGGCTTGTTTGAGCCACATAGTCTTAATACTTGTCTAAACTGCAACAAACCTAAATGAAGTTTTTAGTACCTTGATACAACCAGGCAAGTTCTTTGGACTATAGATTCATCATAACTCATGCACTGTACTTTTAAAGGGTTCAAGTTCAAAAGTCATAAAACTGAGTCAAAACTGAATTGGATTTCAGTGTCTCTACAAATCTCTCACCATCTCATTTTACACACACACACGCACACACACACACACACACCAACAGTAGCCAATAATTGCACATCTTTGCAGAATCAAAAGTCCACCATGAAACCGAATACATTACGTCCAAGACAAAAGGTCCCTCGAGAGAGGAAAGAAAGCCGGAATGGCTGTCATTTGCAAGGAGAACGAAGACAGCTCCAATCTCTATAAAGACCTGTCTTAATAAACACCTCCACAGGCACCCATCTACGCATCACACAATCTCCTGATTGGCTCTATTCAAGTGTAATCACAAGTGTGGAAAGCTTAGAATAGATGGCCAGAGAATGAAAAGCTGTAGAGGAAGAATGTAATGGAAGTGATGGGTGGGCGAGAAAAGTAAAAATGAAGGTAAAAAAAAGAAGGAATAGTGAGAAGAGGAATGTTTCTTGGCTGTGTATAGAAAAGTGGAGGCATACAGTGTAAAGGAAGGGCATTCATTGACACAAAGAGATGAATGGAGGTATATGGTGAAATGCTGACAGGAATTGCATGGCTCAGTGATGAAAAGAACAAATGATGGAGAGAACAAGAGGGTGATAAATGTTTCCTGGGGTTCACTCCACTCAGAGGTGCAGCTTTAATTCCTTTAGGAGCGTTGGGAATGGACATACACAGCCACAGCCACATTTGAGGGCCTAGAGGTGGGGAGGGGCCATGTACTGCAGAGTTTTAATCCTGTACACCAAATAGAGCAGTGGGTATTTCATTAAAGGCCTGTTTCATGGTGGCCAGACCAGAGAGAAATCCATATTTCGTTACTGGTCATCCATCTCTCTGCCTCTCTTTTATTTGTGTGTATATGTGTGTGTCTGTGTATGGGCATTTGTTGTGTATGTGTAAAGATGTATGTGAATGGATACGAATTGGGTGTAAATTCTGACCCCCGTCACCTTCAATAAACAGACCACCCAACATTCAGCAAGTGGGCAGTCTAATAATACTCACACTGACTACGTTGACATAGTCATCGTCAGAAAGAGTCTCCAGCATCTCGCTGACAGAGGTCCTGATCAGTTTTAGCGTCAAGCCAGACACACTCCCACTCCTAAAAAAAAAAAACCAAGAAAGAAATACCTGACAGCTTCTCACAGCAATCTGTCTGCTCAGTTCTTGTCCTGTGAGATTTTACTCGATGTAATTAGAACTGCTTCTGCCTTGGGAAATACATTACACTATGTGGCAAAGCTAGAAAGGCATGCATTTCAATCAGGGGAAATCATGATGGATGCAGGAAGGTTATGGATCAGTAAGATTATCAAACAACTCACGCATCCACGAGAATTAGCATATCTTTCGGTGAGGCGGCTCCTTGAATGTACCTAGATGGTCATAAATGAATGCAAACACATTTCTGGACTGAGACACATATACTCTGAGGGCCAACCATTTGCATAATCATTTATGCTGAGAAAATACAATAACACTTTACACACTTGAGTCATATTTTCATTGTCATATTAATATAAGACTGAGCGATATGGATGACATTATGTTAATACCTCAATGGTAATGATTTAAAGATGAAAAAAGGTCAAATCAGTAGCTATTCAAAGCAATCAACAATTAGCTGTTTTTACAAATTATTATTTTTAGAGCAATACAAAATTTTATCACAAAAAAGATCTTTATTCCTGTAGTGAATACAATTTGTGTGCTGTGTGAATGCACTCAAATTTATACAACCTGCACGGAACAATCAATTAAAGACTAAAAAAATGTATTCACCAAATTTTCACAGTAATAATAATCATAACAATATTCCACTGAAATGCAATAGGCATTATTTAATTGAATTATTTGACTGAATTAAAAAAAACCCTGCTTACATCTAATTAGCTCTACATGTAAACAATGAAATAGATATACAAAGACACATAATGACATAAAAGTTTAAGTTTTGTATTCTGACTGACACTGTTATCCTTGAGCCAGTTTTCTTACCATGGCCTCCTGCGCACATCGTAGAGATCTATTTTACTAGGGGTCTTACGAGCATCCATCCAGGGAGAAGCTAAAAGACGAGATTTGAGATGTACTGAGTTTTCATCACAATTAAAGCAGAAAAACAAACAAAAAACAGCACACTACATACTATTTTGGCTAAATTTCTAATATATTTAACTAATATGGGGTGACTGTGGCTCAGGGGGTTGGCAAGCGCATCTGTAACCGGAAGGTCGCCGGTTCGATCCCCGGGCTCTCTGTCCTGGTCGTTTTGTCCTTGGGCAAGACCCTTTACCCTACTGGTGTTGGCCAGAGGGGCTGATGGCGTGATATGGCAGCCTCGCTTCTGTCAGTCTGCCCCCGGGCAGCTGTAGCTACAACCGTAGCTTGCCACCGTGTGAATGTGAGAGTGAATGAATAGTGGCATTGTAAAGCGCTTTGGGTGCCTTGAAAAGCGCTATATATAAATCCAATCCATTATTGTTATATGATAAAATCATATTGTATTTAGTGTCATATTCTGCTCAGGAGCTGTTGTGTACGTACTACATTCTGTGACATAATGACAGGCTTATTGGATCGATCAATTTATTACACCGTCTACATTATAACATGTTTTAAATCACTAAAAATATTTATGAGGAGGGAAAACACGCACAAATTATTTATCGGAGACGCACAGCTATTAGTGAAGGGCACCATAAAAACAAGGAAGTATACTGAGAGTGAGTGACTGCCTTTCATGCATGCTAAGAAGTAAAAGAAAGGATAAATCAAAGCCAATGCAAATTTATGAATATGAGGCATAAACTTTTGTCATAAAGCTATAGAGTCGATGATGACAGGGAATCTCATGAATAGAAATAGCTTGGCAAAGATAACACGCATACAAGAGGGAACAGCAATAGACAAGTGCAGACGCACATAAAGTCAATGTGAGCTTAATTATGCGGACAGTGGATCAGCTGGAGGCACAATCGAAGATTGCAGCGGTCCCAGATCCAGCTGTACACAGTGGAATATTCTCCCATGTTGCTTGTCTGTGTTTTATTGTGTTATGGTGTGTTAATATCTGTGCATTCCTGGATTATACTTTTTTGTTACACATTTCAATGGTTTTTTTCCCTTGCTACCTAGCCTGACCTGTCACCCCAATGTGATGTTTGTGTATTGTATGTACGGTCGGCAAGGTCTATCAACTCGGTTGTGGGCAACTGCAACTGACAAATAAAGGCTATCTCATCTCCTCAATTACTAAGCAGTGTGTATTTAAGCACATACAACTTCAGAATTATATGAACAGACATATAAAAACCTATTCAAAGGCAATGTTTGGGTTGTTGTCCCCCCCCCGCCTTTGTTTCCTTACCTGGATAATAGCGAGCCAGGCCAGTGGCACTGCCAAACACCTGCCAGAGTAGGGTTGGGTCATCCTCTCTATTCTTTCTAAACACTTCCTTCAGTTCCTCTGTCCAGGTTAATTCATTCAGCACAATGGTGGCTGGATGAACAAATACACATGAAAAGCTCATTTATCAAAAGAAAGCATGCACATGAAAAAGAAATACGTCATGAACCCACCAACATAAGCAGAATTCAATACATTATACTCTAATTACATTTTGATTTTGTGTGCAGCTATAAAATAAACATTTTCATGTCCTTGTGGGTTTTCTCCAATCATCTTTAGAAGGCTTAGCAAAGAGATATGGACAACACAGTTTAACACATTCATTAAGATTCACACACAGGCCTCACTGTCACCCCAGTTGCCCAGCAGAGCACGACCAAATATTTTTCCAGCACAAACAGAAAGCGCTTGCATTAGGCATCAATATCAAGGAATAGTACTCAGACAAGTAATGGCTTTGCACAGACACAATTAAAGTGTTTTACCTAAAACCACCAAATAATCTGCATGACTGCATGTGCAGAAGTTTTGTGTGTGTGTGTGTGTGTGTGCATGCTTTTGACAGATAGTGTGTGCTGTGAGAGGCAACAGGCATTATGGATGTAATGACACAGCACCCAGACAGCTCAGAGCCACATTAAGACTGATGATGGATGGAGACACAACACATGCTGCCCCCAACTCTATCTGTCCTCTCTGCCGCTCTTCTTTTTTTTACCATCTTCCACTTTTTTTGTACTTTGTGGCATTGCATATATTTTTTTATGGGACTCTGTACATCTCGACATGTGGCTAGAAGTATAGTGTGCATGTGTGTAGGACATATTGCTATCCTGTATTGAGCGTGACGTGTCTCATTGATGTGCAAAGCAAACAGTGTTCATTTGCATCTATTTCTCTAGAGTGAAGAGTTAATGAAGCCTCGGTTGCCAGGAGTGCATGTTTTTCATTATAGAAAGGGAGAGAGCATGAAGCGTGTGCACACACAGTAATATATTTCTCTCATTAATCATTGAATTTTAGAATTTTAAGGCAAGAGTCAAAAAAATACTACTGCACTTGTTAGATAATGATAAAACTGCAAACTATATGTATACCTTTTATTGAAGACTGATTAAGTTAGGCTATTGGATAGATAGCACAAGCCATCTTGTTTTATCCAAACAGCTTGACAGTTAAATACAGCGAGATGATACTCACGTGTACTAGACTGTAAGACGAAATTATGGCACAAGGCAACCACAAGCCTCTAACTAGTAATTTGTTGCTTTTTAATGTCTCCACTGGTTGTGAATATCCCTGAGTTAGTCATAATCTTTAATAAGCTAAACTTCACTGCTGCTTCATAAGGGAAAGACTATCCTCGGGTTGCCCATATTGCCAATGACACTAATGAATTCCCTGGATACACATGTATGCCACACTGAATTCACACCTAGTGATGACATAATCTCATTGGGACATCGTGGGTGCAGTATAATTCACAAAAATATGCAAAATGGATTGGTGCATATTTTCCCTATTTTTTGACTGCTTTAATTATCAGTCTTTTCCTTATAGAAGCAACAGTTACACACTGTATAACAGTGAAAGCTAATAAGCAAAAATGTTCTATACAGCTACAGTACAACATGCTCAGTTAAACAGTTATTTATAGTTAGTTTAACATAAGAGAGAGATAACTACAAGACATTAAATTTCCCATCATTACTAATTAAAATAATAGTTGGATATCTGAAAGACTATAATGTATGTCACAAAATAACCTCTGATATGGAAATATTGCTGGCTAAATATCTAATCATTGGAGATAAAAACCGTCTTTGTTTTTCTAAGCTGCACAAAATTTGCTCACCCGCTACATTTGTTTATGCCATACAAAAGCTATGGTGAAAATTGCCTTTGGATGACAGAAGTGATAGGCAGCAAACTGGAGGGATTTTTGCATCTACACAAAGCTGGCACTTGAATTCCAATCACAAGCAGTACTGCCCTGAGTGTGAAAGGTGAAAGATGTCTGCTGAGCTCCCTGTGACACAAGATGACATTACAGTATGTGTGAATTTGTAAATTAGGAATCATTTTTGCAGCAACAGACTTGTGTGAAATTGTTGAATAATAAAAATAAAAAAAACTCGTTCCACAGTCTTGGACAAGTTAATTAACCCAACAGGATTTATAATTTCAATCATATCAAATGCAGTGATCTCTTATATATAATAAAAAAAGAAATGTACCATTAACACAAGAAACACCTGGAAACAGAAAGTGATGATTCCGATGGATTATTTAAAGTTTACTTTAGGCTACATTTGTGCTGAGCTCACAAGAAATTCTTCTATATGACTGGCCTATAGCCAGGAGGCATTGGAGTGTTGGAGTGTTTTTAAAAATTAAACAAATGCATGTTTAATATATATGATTAAAATAAAAGCAGATCTACTGAATACAAAAGATGGACATGGCCACTGACACGTCACTCATTGTTTAGTGAAGCATCTGTTGTAAAGTTTTAAGTGCTTTTTTTTCCATATTGGTGCTTTATAAATGGACTTAAATATCAAGCATGGATCTGACAGTGAAACCAAGGGACACTCTCTCCTAAGACTGTAGCGATCACATTGAGACCATCCATTCAATTTATTCTGCTCATTTGATTCAGGATCACAGGTGGTGACATCACAATTGCCATACGGCAAGAGGCTGGCCAGGTCACCAACCTGTCACAGTGCTAAAACATAGAGAACCAACCATTTACACACACCATTCAGCACTGTCCCTGGACAGAGCCTGCACAGACACGGGTAGAACATGGAAAGGACTGTTTAGGCGTGAGGTGCTAGCCACCACATCACTGTGCTGCCCTCGGCTAGAGACCATAATTTACCAAAAGAACATTATGTTACATTCAGCTTCACTTGAAACCAGAAAGGCCATGAACTCATCAGGAAAATAATTAGTGAGATCAGAGATCACATTAGACAAAGGGTCACTTTCTTATGGATTTCTGCAGCTGAACTTCTTATTGTAACCAGCCTTGCAGAATGCAGATGGAAGACAGTTAAACATTGGCTGGAAACTGGGTCTATCCTTCATATACAGTCTGTATTCTATAGTGCTCTGAAAAAAAGATTTTGCCACCTTGCTGATTTCGTCTTTGCAATGCAATTGCAAATTGCATTACATCTGACATTAAACAATGTCAAACATGTTTATGATGATGTACTGTAACAGTATGGGACTTCTTTGATGGACAACTTGCCAAAAACCCTCCAGTGTGGCTGAATGAAAACAAGTCTGCAAAAAAGTTGGATGAAATTGGTCCAAAGCAATTTGATAGACTCGTTGCTAGGGATGGGTATTGATAAGATTTTCACAATTCCAATTCCATTTTTGATTCTGTTTAACGATTCGATTCTTTATTGATTCTCTTATCAATTCTTTTTAAAAAAGGAGAACACTAAGTTCGATTAGCTTAGAACTTTGTTTTATATCTTCTCTTTGAACAAGATAGAAATTTAGGAGTAACATGGCCTTACAAACCCAACAGTGAGATCTTAAGAGATCCACAGCCTATGGCTCTTCAATGGGGTGTCACAGGGTCCCCAGGAAAAAATTTGTAAATGTAAAATAATAAAATAAATATTCTTCTGTAGCAATAACAAAGTATAACATAAATTATTCAGTAGCAATTACACAAGAATATCCAGTAATGTCCCTGCCCACAATTAAACACATTCACTTACCAAAAATCGGGGGCATCTGCTGTGGCAAATGGGTGCAAGCCTTTTACCACAAACTTAGTCACTGCTCGGTGACATTCGTCTATCCTGGCCTGAAAAGAGACGCTACCGGTAGACTGCAGTGAGAACTGGCAGCATCTGAGGCAGCCAGACTCTGTCTGTCTCTCTCATCATGGTCGCCTAAATGCACAGTAATGGCAGGGTTTGTAATAAGGCAGATCGCGCTAACATAATATGCACTGTTAGTTGATTATTTACCTGCCGCATTAACGGGAGAGGACGTGCAAACGTTACCGCTGCTGCTGGGTTGAGATTCACGAGTCCAGAGTGGAATTAAAAACACGTCATTCATTTGAGGTCATCGTGTGTTTTGTGAGCAAATGCTTTTGCATATTCGTAGTGTTTCCTCCCTTAAATGAAATATCTACTTTTCAAGTATTGCAAGTTGCCCTGTTGTCATCCGTTCTCGTAAAGTATAACCAAACTTTTGAGCGTTTGAGCCGCCCTGTTTCCTGCCAGGTAAATGACACTCCGCAACGTGGTGACGTCATTCGGGGCGACTGGAATCGATAAGGGAATTGTTTGCAAAAATGGCAAACAATTCCAAGGAATTGAAACAGTGGGAACCGGTTCTCAACAAGAACCAGTTTTCGAAACCCATCCCTACTCGTTGCCATTCGCCAGCTGTCACAGACACTTGATTGTAGTTCTTGCCGTAAAGGGTGGCACAATCAGTTTTTAGGTTTAGAGTAATTGTGTTTGAATCATTTTTTTCTATTTCCATTTATCTATGTCTAATAATGAAATTAGTTTAATGACATGAAATGTGGCACAAATACTACTAGCTTAGCATGCTCGCTTTGCAATGTATAGTAACCCTACTAAATATCACAAAGAGATACTCCTTGAATATTTTTTCCCGTCTCATATCTAGAATTATAAATACATAAATTTTACATTTTTATATTCGGCTTCCACTTGTATATCCACTGAATTAAACTATTTTCTATTTTGTCTGATATCCTTTATTTTGGTACTATGTCCTTCAATGGACATTTTATGCTTTTGTGATCTTTCTGTCATGCCTGTATCCTTTCCAATACTGCCCTCACACACATGAGTCTGATTTCATAAACTTGTCACCCACTTTACCCAGAAAATCTAATTTTCTCCAGCTGAGCAAAGGCTATTCTGGGAACATTTATAGGGTGGAGATTAAATTGGAGAGTTGAAACCTCAATAACTATGAATCTTCTGACCTGGAATACCAAATACATACTCCTTCACATGTGTCCATATCTGACACAATATATGAGCCTGCGTATGCTCTCAGACATACATTTTTCTCCATATTCGCAGTGCTTCTTTGAATACATTAGTTAATTTTAAATAATTTTCTTTAGCTAGATATTCCTAGAGTTTGAAATTTAAACTTAAATCTGAAAAACAAGTCTCAATCTCAAAACAAAATTGCATGGTCTGGTTCTTCATTTCCATACCTGAGATTGTTGCCCACAGTGTACCGCCAGGTTTGAGTCCTTCCTCGTAAACACACACACACACCTAAAGTTTCTTTCATCTCGCTGGGTAGGTCCCAGAAGCTCAGCGTATCCATGCATACTCATTACAGGCTACCAATAAACAGCATCCTTGTGAGAGAAAGGCAGCGTGAGTAGCTGTGGCACCCAGCCCAGATTAAAGGCCAGATAGGGATCTCAGGGAAAAATTGACAAATTCACAGCAAGTTCAAAAGAAATGCTAATAAACTAGACTTTCCACCCACAAATAACAAAACCTGACAGCTTTCCATTCCAATCTACATTTCCCTTTTCTGCCCATGTGTCTGGGGTCAGCAACAAGGTGAAGCAGGTAACCTTGGGGCCAGACGGTTCCCCAGCAGGCTGAGGTCCATGCTGAGGAAGTCATTCCATCCTGCTGTCTCTCCAAGTCACTGCTGACGCATTACTTTCCACTGCACTGATTCCACTACACCAATTACTGAACATCTTACCACAAACACACAGATGTCTTTCTTCACAGAAACACAGATACAAACACACATCATTCAGTAATTCTGCTGCAAGATGGTTTAAAAAACCAGATTGTAATTAAACTGGAATCTTTCTGAAGTTCTTCGAGAACCAAGGCCTACTGTGGTGACACATACTTGAGCAAATCACCTAAGGCTTTATTCCTCTCCTCGTAAGTCACACTATATTAAGGACATCACCCCACAAGTTGAAATCTAAAAAATAGAATAAAGGAAAAGCCACTTAAAAATATTACATAATTCAAACCACACTTAAGCTATTCAGCCAGGCACCCTTAAGTCACTGACATTCAACTTGAGCTGTGCTAATGTCAGGGAGACTCTCGAGATTTAAATTATGCTGTATCACTCAAGGTAAATGTCAGCACATGATGATGAAATGATCAGAAATGTACTTTTATAACAAAAGGAGCAAAACTACTCTTTAACAGGATATCTTCCAATCCATAGATAATGGTTTCTTCCTGCTGCGACTATTGCTCTCCAACAATACCCAACAGCCTCCTCAGACATGTTCTCACTACAAGACATACTTACAGGATATGTGACGATCATTCACTATGAATCTGTCAAATGATTACCTGCTATATTTTAAAACTGTTTCAAGTAAATATTGCACTCGCTTTGTAGTATGAGCTGGCAGGCTAAAGACTTTTAACATCCAATGTGACTGAAACAGCCCCATCAAGTAAAGCCTGAGTTTGGGATGGTATAAATAGATCTAAACAGCCATGACTATATAGGGAGTGCAGAATTATTAGGCAAATGAGTATTTTTTCCACATCATCCTCTGCATGCATGTTGTCTTACTCCAAGCTGTATAGGCTCGAAAGCCTACTACCAATTAAGCATATTAGGTGATGTGCATCTCTGTAATGAGAAGGGGT